AATAAATTATTAAAAAGAAAATTATATTTTTAATTATATTTTTTTATTTAAATAAGAAGGTATATTCATCATTTCAAAACTCCTTATTGAGAAATTTGATGAAAACTGATAGAAATGATGATTTGTGCAATCAAATATGCAATTAAGGGTGAAATTGCTAAAAAAAATGAAAGATGTGTACGTTTTTCGTAATAATAGTGAAATATATGGACATTATATACCAATTACCCTTTAAATAATTTTTTGGAACTCATTTTCATTTTTTAAAAATGATTGCAACCATGATTGCAATTAGTTTTTTTCTTTTTTTTAAAAAAAAATATTTAAATAGAAGTGTATATTCGTCATTTCACAATTTTTAATTGAGAAAATGGATGAAAATGATATTTTGTGCTATGAAAGATGAAATAAGGATGAAAATACCAAAAAATAAAAGTTAATGATGTTTTCCACAATAAGAGTGAAAATGTGGGAACGTTATGTGCTATTTATCATATTTATAAATACTCAAACCACTTTTTATTCATACATTTTAATGGATCCAAAAGTATTACTCATTCTATCACTCATATAACTTATAGTATGGCTAAACAACTAAATTGTCAAACTGTAAAATCAAGCCGAAACCACTTATTCGAAATTGGTTCGGTTTAGGTTTCAATTGTTGCAAACTGTTTACAAGAAAAAAAAAATCTGAAAATAAATTAAATAAAATTTTATCCAACCCAAATAAAACTAAACACATCCCAATCAAAAAGATATATCCATACTAGATCAACCAATTAGGCAACTATCACAATTGATTAATTAAGTAATTCATACCCTTATTCTTCATTCACCGCAATTGTGAGGGCAAAACCCTCAAATTGGCTACAAGTGTTGAACACCTAAACTGTACAATGTTCATCGATCGTCCATCACAAATGAGTAATTGCTTTTGAGTTGCAATCCTTACGAGTGATCGAATCTTTGATTCCTTTTCAAGTTCATTGAGTGCAAAGACTGTTGAGACGATTTTTTTGCACTAAGAATTGCTTAAAAGAAAGGTATAGAATTTGATATTTCTTTTCATTTTCTTTTATAAGTTGCTTTATATAATTTAATTATAGTTAATAAATACTTTTTATCTATTCTTATCTTTATGCAAAGAATGAATCACATGATACAATTCAAGATATTGGGCTAGTTAGTATCGACTAAGATATTAGAACTAAACTGTTTCCATCATGTTGTTGCATTGCAATGATTAGAAGTTTAGATTTTTGTTTATAATATTTGTAATGATACTAATATATGTGTTTTAAAATGAAAATTTAAACTAAAATTTATATATAACTTGTTTGATATATATATATTTTTTTCCTAAATCGTGATTTTAAATCGAATAAAATCGAGAAAAATGGTTTGATTTGATTTTGTTTAGAAATTGAAGTAGTTCGATTTTATTTGATTTGATAATTTATCACAAAACGTAAAAAATCGAACTGTATTCACCCTTAATTTACAGTATATATGGCTTAGATCCATCTTAAAGACGATAAAGCATCCCTCGTCCCTATTATTTACCATTGATAACAAATAATTTACATAGATTGGCGAATGATAATAATCTCAATTAATGATGAATAACGTTACTCTTACAAATAATTCCGTGTTCTCTACTAATTGACGTGTCTTAAAATACTGAAGCCTAGAATGGATAAATGATGTGAATTAGACACTGGCAGGGATCCATTATTAATTGGGACCCAAAATGAATGAGATACATGTTCATTAGATAGTGACATAGATTATCGATTTTCAATAATTCAAGAATACTAGAAATTTTCTCGTCCAATTGAAAGAACTTTCTTCATACAAGAACAAAAATAATAAATTTTTTCAGTTCAATTTCCCTGTAAAGTTTTTTTACACTGTCCTACTAACTATTCGTAAAGGCATGTGATGATGTGAACCCATGTCACCATCCAGCAACGGACCAATTTCCAAGTGACTAGAGACATCACAATAAAGTGTGTTAACTTTTCCTTCAATTTTCACATGTGAATCCCCACAAAAATCCATTTTGGTGGATGCTAACTTGTACAAACAAAAATGTCAATCAAACAATACTTGTGTTGTGTCTCGTATTAAAATAAATCAAGGAAACAAAAAATTCCATATTTATAATTTAAAGCTTGTAAGAACTAAAGATGCTCTTTTGCATCATTTTCACAGAGAGGCCATATGTTGAGTGGATAATTAATGCCCATATGTTGAGTGGATAATTAATGCAACGGTTTGAGGTGGAAAACTTGGCAAGTTGACATGTATAACTTCTTGGCTGCAGCTTGCTCGAACTTTTTAGTAGCAACTTCGTTCTCTTCTAAGCTGGTTTGAATGAAAAATCTTATCCACCAAGACGAGCTTCGCAGTTTAGCCTACAGAAGGCAGAGATCAGTGTTCAATGTTTTGGAGTTTAACCTTAGAAAGTTGAGTTATAAGAAGATTACAAGACATCAAACATGAATTAGTCGTGGAATATTTTTCAGAGTTTAACCTTGGGGCATTGCATTTTCAGCAATATTCAACCCAGCATCATACTAAAGAACAAAAAAATTGCAATTCACTATATTTTGTTCTGTTTGTATCCAGTTATTTTATGCAGAAAGAAGGTACACAAAAGGATGAAAATTTCGATCAATGACATAAAATCTGCTCCTAGTATTAACTTAAAATGTTGTAAAATAAATGTAAACTGACACTTACCGGGCGACCAAACTTAGATAGCTCTGCCACTTTAGCTCTTTGATGACCTGGAAAACCTATATAAAGAATTGAAAATTAGTAGACTTCATTATAAATTTGATAGCCAGCAAGAGAATGACCATAACACTTCATCCCATATCGGTTGGTTGAAAATTATGATATTAGTTTGTCAAGATTAGGAATAGCAACTTCCTTGAAACATAGGTTTAAGAATTTTCGATTTGTTTCGGGCTCCCACATATTCAAAAGATCAGGGATTCGGCCAAAGATTTGCAAGTGGTATGAGAGCCATCCTCATGGGATGTCCTTATGGGTGAGATTCAGTTTGTAGTGTATGCCATGAATTTACATGAGGTAAATCCAATATTGAGGAGTTAGGAAGTATATACATGGTCTATAAAACTCAAAATATATTCAGTACTTAGCAATATGCTAGGTTTCTTCCATGTTGCCAATGTCAGTGCCTAAATTGGTTGCTTATAAGTTAATAGGGGCAAAAAACATAGGCTTTCAAGGGTCACCAACCAAGCTGAAGGAAGGGCTTTATAGCCTTCGCCTTATTCCGAGGAGGAAGGGAGAGAAAGCTAAACAAAAGACATAGAGAACATATCCATACTCTTATTTAGTATAGTTATTTACAAGCAGTATCAAAGTGATGCTCCTGATATGGTTCACCTTAGGATGAGTCTGAGCTAAGGGTGTAAAGTGGGTCACAACAGCAGCATGACCCACAATTTGGAGGTTTGTGATAGGGTTTCTTTCAGGCTTCGCATGAACTAGAATTTGTGTGGCTAGCCAAGCCTGATTCAATGAAACTTTACATGGTGCGGCATAGTCCATGTTGAACTAACTCATATGGGCCAATGATTTTTCTAGTAAAGGTTAAAGAAAACAAATCCCCTCCCAAGGGCTCCAGTTGGAGATTCACCATACTGCCAAAAAGTTCGGTCCATGTGGATCACAGACCATAGATGTTTGGAACAAAACCAACCCATATGAAACATCATGAGGAGCCATGCCAACTCAGCCCACTTTACACCTCTAGTACAAATAGAGGTGTAAAGTTGGTTGAGCTAGTATGACCTAACAAAAGTTTCATATTGGTGCAAACCTTGGCCTGATGAGGAAGCCAGGTTAGACATCCTAAGCCCACAACTTACATCAACTGTTTTTCAACAAAATGGTGATCAGTTTCCAACTTTTTGGCTATCGGGAGAGTGGGGGATTTCAGTTCTTTTTCCCAATTTTGTTATGAAAAAACTATTGGCCCATGTTGGCCAGCTCGGCACGGCTGGTAGGGATTTCCATCGTGTGTAGCTTGGTCAGTCAAGCAACACAAAATGTTGGGTCATGCAAGGCCTGACACAGGCCACCGCCAAAATGTAGTCCGTAGCACCAGCAAGAAACACACTTTACGCCCCTAAGCCTACTTTGTAGAATAGGCCATAATTTGGATCAAAGGATATTTCAGTATTGTACCTTAGAAAATTTTACGAGTGGTTTATAAATTACAAGTACTCACAGTCACTACCTTGCAATATGTGCACAAGTCAAATTAACACGTAGTCAACACCAGTGGCCTGGACGGATTACTTATATTTGGAAATGTAATGAAAAACAATAGACTTCCTTTAAAAATTCACCATCTTACACCATCTTAGTACTAGTCCTACATCATCTGGGTGGCATAAGAGCTACCCTCACAGTATTATTTACTTGGAAAAGCGTTAGAATGTAGAGCAGTCCAGGGATAATACAACCAGATATGCCGATAAATATGCAGTTAAACTATGATGGCAAGTAAAACTCTTAACATGTTGCTTGAATCACTGGCCTAAACTGGTTCCTTTTAAGCTAAATGATGTGTGAAAGAAGATTTCCAGGTGTCACCTGTTATGAAACAATCAAAATATCTCTTGAGAAATATTAATATGTTTGGATCGCTGTTAGCAATATTGAAAATACAAGAATTATGTATTGTTTAAATATCACTTGATGAAACCAACCACCGGAATGACTTGTTGAAATTATATAGCAAATAATAAAATATTAAATCAAGCAAAATAATAATAAAAACAAAAAATATGATAGAGAAATTAAGAAATTTTATTGATTCAAGAATAATAAAGAAGAGAGAGAATTACAAATGATCCTATAATTCTAGTAATCCGGTTTCTCACACTATAAAATTGTATAGAAGAGCCTAATTATTTACAGGGAACATGTATGGGATGTCCAAGCCCTCCTAATAGAGTTGTTGATGAAGTAGGATACCAAAAAATCAAGTCCAAAACAAATTCTAACTCCTATGGGCTTCAAAAATAGAATTTCAACTTGACATAAGACTCCAATAGCATTCCAAACTGAATTTTTTTACGTGCACTTCAATTACTTCAACAAGGAATTCGAGTCACACCCAAATTCTAACAATCTCCACTTTGACACGAATTCCACGACAATGAACAAAGCTCCAAAATATTCTCTACTTGGAAAAGAAAATCCGCCTGCAAGAAATGAACCGACTCTTCAACAATAACCAAAACTAATTTCTCCAACAAACACAAAATGCTCCACATCTTCCAGTGAATCCAAACACTATTAAGCAGAATTACTTCAAATTCCCAAAAAATCATAATGATCTTAAAATTCACCAAACTAGGCTGTAACATACCCAAAGCAGAATCAAACTCAAATGCTTTTAAAGAAGGTCTCTTGCTAGATTGTACACCTTCTATTACGCTGAAAGCATACATAACAAAATCAACATCCACATACCTTTTACTATTGGGTCCGTCTCTTGCAATTGAATATCATGGCACCGCATGTAATGATGACAAAGCGGCATTATCCACATCTCCCGAACTCCACTGAGCAGTATTCTTCAAATCTGAAGCTTTACGAGCTCCTTAAGGTATTGTATCAAATTGAATGTCCACAACGGTACTGAACCTATACTGATTGACTATTCTAGATTCTACACGTCCCTACAAGATGTATAACTGAGACATTTTATGTCATTTCAATACAACCTGGGCACCCGTACAAACCTTCAAAACTCCACCTCCACCAAAGAACTCGTAACCCTTTGGATCAAGGATAGACAATGAGATGGGATTCTTCTTTAAATTAGGAACATATTGAACCTAGCCAAATTTTCAAATTGTCTCATCCAATATCTTCAATCTGCCTGTACCATTTCCAGCAACCCAACAAGGTGCGTTATTTCTCATAACCACGAAACATTTGGAAACGATTTCATATGTAGTAAACAAGTCCTTATTAGGACACATATAAAACACACGCTGAATCCAGAATCCAATCCTCCTCTAATTTAGACTCGTTGTCAGAAATAGCCAAGGGATCTTCCTCACTTACAATGTTCTCTACGAGGTCTGCTTCACCTAAAGTCTATGATTGCTTCCCATATCAACTTGCAACTAACATTTCTTTATTCTGCAATTTGTAGCAATCATTTTTCAAGCGCTCCTTCTTGCAGAAGTTAAAAATCTGATTACTGAACTTAGACTTTGATCTGCCCTATCCAAAAGACCAAAACCACTATAAGCAAAAAGGCCTTCTACATCTCTGACCTTTGAAACCAAATGCCTCATCTTCTTTTTTGAAAGCAAAGCATCATACACCTCCTCCATGGTGAGAGTATCACGACTATACAAGATCGTGTCTCTAAATAAAGAAAACAAAGCGGACAACGAACACAATAGGATCAAGGCCATATGTTATTCATCATACTTTACTTCCAAAGTTTCCAAATTACTTTACTTCCAAAGTTTCCAAATTAGTGACGATCCCTTTAAATATGGTCAGGTGATCTTCCAATAATCCTCATTTTGTCATTCGATGAGAGTATAAACGTTGCTTGAGATGCAACTTGCTTGTAAGACTTTTAGTCATGCACAATTGCTTCAACTTCAACAATAAAGCAGCTGCTGAACCCTCTTTCAAAACATCATGAAGAATGGTATTCGATTGATGAAGATGAATGTGAGAAACTGCTTTCTTATCATTCCGTAATTTTTCCTCTGCGGTTAAAGTTGCGGGAATCTTGTCAATTCCCAGCAACGCATTATCCAAATCCTGCTATGCGATTACTGCATGCATCTTGACATACCATAACGTAAATCCAGTGCTCCGATCTAAAAGCAGACTTTCATACTTTATGGAAGCCATCACGAACCAAAAACCTCGAACAAATCAAACCCCACGCTCTTGCGAAACTGCTGAACCCGGTGCTCTGATACCACTTATTATGAAACAACCAAAATATCTCTTGTTAGAAGAAATATTATTATGCCCGAATCGATGCTAGCAATGTTGGAAATATAAGAATTATGTATTGTTTGAATACCACTTGATGAAACCAAGCACCGAAATGAATTGTTGAAGTTATATGGTAAATAATGAAATATTAGATCAAGCAAAAGAATAATAAAGACAAAAAATATGATAGAGAAATTAAGAGATTTTATTGACTCAAGAATAATGGAGAAGAGAGAGAATTACAATGGATCCTCTAATTCTAGTTATCTGTTTTCTCACACTATAAATCTGTATAGAAGGGTCTAATACTTATAGGGAACGTGTAGGGAATGTCCAAACCCTCCTAATAGAGTTGTTGATGAAGTATGATACCAAAAAATCGTGTTCAAAACAAATTCTAACTCCGAATAGGCTTTCCAAATAGAACTTTTAACTTAACACAGGATTCCAATAGCATTCCAAACTGAATTTTTCTTGACGTGTACTTCAATTAGAATTCTTCAATTACTTCAACAAGAAATCTGAGTCACGCCCAAATTCTAACATCACCATCCCAGCATTCCTCTCACCCAAGCACGTTCAAATTCAAAACTCTAATGGCATTTGGGATTTGTGCACTAAGTGCTATATGCGCCCGCTTTAACATTCTATGTCTCATTGTAATTCTTAAAATCTCAGTCATATATTTGAAACTTCATCACTTGAAACCAAGATGAGCATGTTTGAACCAGCTTATTTGCATGTGTGGGATGGTCCCGCACATAAGTATGCCAAATATGTGGGTTGACAAATAAGTATGCAAATCCATACTTATTGCTTTCAAGAAAGCAAAGAAGTGGTGAGGTGTTCGAAGATTGTATTGGTTCTTCAGAATAACACTGTATTCATAAACTAAATATATGGTTAAGAGCATTTTATGCCCCTATTTGGTCCGGACTAAAATCTAATTTTAATCCAAATCAAAGTCAAACAATCAATATTAACCACATCTTTCATAGGTCCCACAATTTTTCAACCACAAATTTCAAAAACTTCTACCACAATGTATTAAAAATCTAATTTTAATCCCTACCAAACACCCTGTATTTTTTTTTTATTTAGAAACAATACCTACTTTTAAGAAGGGGTTTTTTGCTCTTAAAATATTGGTTAAGAGTTGAAACTCAAACCTTTTTAACATTAAACTCGACATTTTCCTTTACCACTTGAGCATAATCTAATTAACATCATACGGACTTCAGTCATTTACACTGCCTAGGCAAACATAATTGGACATAAACCATCACAAAATGTTTTAAGCACATGTTATCAAGGGTATTGAGTCAACTCCTTAGAAACTATCCACAAAAGTTCCCCATAAACAATGTGGGACAGGATGTTAAAAATCCCTCACTGGATACAAGAAGTGCTTGTTGAGTCTGAAATATTGCCAGCTGGCCCAGCTCCAAAAATCCAGGTTCACCCAAATGGACATCACCATGAAGATGACTCTAACACCAGTAAATGAACTCGAGTAAGGTCACTAGCCTTGAAACGATAATTAGACACTAACCCAAAATGTTTAAATCCATGTTGGTAAAAGGCAGATACCCACCTAACTACTATGGCATAGGATAAGTGAGACCCTCCAAAAGTAAACATGAAAACATAATAAAAAGCCTGTATCAATTCCTAGCTATAAAGAAACAAACATGTGAAGTTTCCACTTGCTATAAGTAACATGTGCAGAACTGTTAATAAATATAATATGCCATGGTTTCTAGAGAATTACCAGATAGTATAACTAAACCTTCCGCCGATACCCTTGCTAGCTCAGGAACGGTTCTGTTCAGGTACTTCGGCGACAAGTAATCCAATGCATCTGACACTATGACAAGAGAAAATGACTTTGCCCTGTAGGGAAGAGGAAACTTGATATCAGCCACACGCACAACGCTCTTTCGTACAAGATTTTTGCAGGTAGCATCAGCATCATCTAACTCATATGGCTCTACACCCCAAGCTTCAGTATCTTCTTCTTTTAATAGTTGAGAGACTACGGAGCAGGTATCAGGGCCTACGTGCAACACTTTCCTCATGCTGTCGCCATATGCTTTCTTAAGAATAGGAGTTAATTTCTGAAGTTCTAGAGTACAAGAGACACCACCTGCGCATACATGGTTAAATTTCTCAAACAATGATATTCCATCCTATTAGTAGCATTTATTTATTTTTCAATCAATGAAACCAAAAAAGAAGTCAGATAGAAGAACTGCAGGCACTTATGTTGTAATATCAGCCAATCATCTTCTTCAGAATTTTAGTAATCAAAGGACGATCATAGTTAGATTAGAATCTGCACACTAGTACTTTTACACCCCAATAAGATTATTTTTCAAACCATAAAAGATTATATAGATTAAAAATCATGCACTTCGATAAAATCACAAATGTCAGAAATGGACTTTTGCGGTGAAAGACTATTCAACATTCTAGAAAGAATGGGATAAGTACTAACACTACAAAGCAATCAAAAAATGAAGAAAAAAATGTTGCAGTTGGAATGGTTGCTAGAAAAAGAAACAAGGTTTTTTACATGCTTGTGCTGCTTCGTCTTCAATAAATCATCTGGTATTATATGAATTGGAACAAGGAACATTTCATAAGCACTGATATGACAAGCTATATAAAATTAAAGAAAAGTGGAAAACCCTTCAACTAGTAAAGCTGTCTTTGTTTTAAAATACATAGATATTGAAGATATCATGATATGATAGTCATATTCCAAGTATAATAAGCATAGAAATCGAGACATGAAGGGTTTGAGTTGGTAACCAATCAATGTAAAGGTTAATGCTTTTATAGGTTGAAAATTTACCATCCAGTCTACTTAAAGCCGCCATGTCGCCATTCCTTGAACCTGTCATGAAAAAATTCAAAAACTATGATTACATCAACTGATATAAACTCTACAACTCAAATAAAATAATAGTAATCTAAATGACATTCCAGAAGAAATGGATGCAATTAAATTAAATTGAAAAAGTACGACAACGTTGAGATTTTGGACAAGACCACAAAAATTATCCAGCAAAAGATGATGCAGAGGCACATAAAGCATGAAATTTGTTGATTAGGATATAAATAAACAAATAAACAGGGCAAACTACATACCTGAACCATGATACATATAACCAACAATTAGTAATGCTCCCTGAAAATTCACAAAATATACAATATCAGATATTGTCACTATGAAATCAAATCCCAATATCATATTTTTGTAACTAGGTCCAACATCAGAAACATATATTAAGAAGGGGCAGAAATAGCAGTGTCTGTTGGTCATATTTTATCATAATTCAATCCAAAAGTGAAATATACCGTAACACATTCACAGTCTATATGGCAATGAGGGAATGTATGTATGCATATGAATTTCTAGTGCACGAGTGTACGTATTTTGAAAAAAAAAATGATTTCAATAGGGATCACTAACGTAGACGCTAGATGATAAAGGAATCCTTGATCATTATTTCCAGTATTTATAACGTCCAACGTGAATCTTGTGATTGGCAACCTACCTATGACACAGCCTCCTAGCAGTCAAGGTAACGACTTCAAGCTAATAGTTGGTGCATAAATGTTTTTATGATTATTTATGTCCTTGTGCGTGAAGAATTTGAAGAGAAGGACATCAGACTTACCACAACAAGAAGCCCTACAGATAATAGAGGAGATGGACGGGATTTGGGGTGCAATGAACCCACAAATGGAATGCTCCCACCGTCTGCAAGGCGACGAGTGGAAATGGGCCTTCTAGACATTGTTTTGCTGTTGTGATGAGCCTGCGAGATATGGCATTGATGCAGTAGAAAATAAGACCATATTTTCAAAACAAAAAATGCTCCGTTTATACACATAAAAGACACCATTCAAGAAAAATAAAATCTCAGTCACCACTTGCATACAAAGGTCACCAACATAGATTCATAACATTATCATGCCATTAAACATTCCAAAAATAGAGTAAGAACAGAGTATGTTAGTTTACTATAAGCCCAGTGATGCAGAATGTGCCAAGTTGGAAATCCTCATACCAGGAGGGCATCAGCCCTCAGATGTATTAGTAGCAGTACATTACACAGACTAAACTAATTGAACTAGAAGACATTCCTGATCAGTTAGTCAATATGAAATAGATCATCCTAACATGCAAGCCTAGAAAGAAGCCATGAGTTGATTGCAACAGACAGACATACGGTAATCTCGATTTGAAACGGCCCATATCAAGGAACTAAACTAAACCCACATTTCAAAAGCTTTAAATCGAATTAATCTGTAATGAAGCAGAAAAACTAAATATATTTCAACTATTTCTCGTGAACAACTTCACTGTATAACAGTTGGGACTTCATTATATCATCAGACTAAATCAACCGAAATATATCCAACCACAGATCCACACAGTATTTACTAATCAATGAAAAAACCAACAAATGTGGAGAATTTAACAAATTTAGAAAGAAATCTAACCAAAATAATTACCTGAATGTACAAATCAACGAGCGTAGAAAGAGTTTACTGGAAGTGGTATCTAGATCTGCTGGAATTAGTTTTACTCCGTAAGCTCAATGGACATAAAAGAGCTACGAGATTTACTTTGGGGATTATTTCCATTACTCTTTATTTATTTGCTTTGTCCCTGTCACTTTCTATGAATTAATAGGTCAATAATTAATTAATTTATAATTAATCAGTAGCCCGGGGTTACATTTAAAAATGGTCTGGTCAAAGGTAGGGATGTCCAAAAGTCCCAAACCGAATCGAACCGAACCGAACCGTACCGAATCGAGCGGTTTTTCATAAATTAAATACCTGAACGGGTACCCGAATCGAGAATCGATGGGTTTGGGTCGGATCTCGGGTGTAAACCAAGAACCGAAGAATCGAATAAGAACCGAAACTAAATAAATTTTTTATTTTTATATTGAATTAATTAAATTAAATTATTTTTTCCTAAACAAATTAGCAAATTAATTAAATAAATCAAATCATTTCATTTTATTATGAAAAGAGAGAACAAGAGAAGTCAGTAGACTTATTGTATGTTATAATGNATTTTATTGGACGGCTAGTTATGTATATGTTTTTGAATTGGGCTACGTTAATTTGTAAAAGTTACAAATGAAATGTCATTAGTTGTATTTATGTAGTGCTACTGAAAATATTAAAAAATTTAATTATGGTACGGAATCGAACGGAATCGAACCGACTCGAACCGAACCCGAACGGTTTCATAATTATATTTAGACCCGAGGGTCCATTTATTAAATACCCGAAAGTTTTGGGTCGGTTCGAGTATCTTCAGAACCGAACCGAACCGAACCGATCCACGGACAGCCCTAGTCAAAGGGCGAAATTTCTCATTAACTGTTCCACAAATCAATAATTTCAAAGTAGTCCAAGGTGTTCAAAAGACAAAAATGTCTTTTAATAAATAAAACAATTACAGAATATGGTTTTATTAAAAAGACAATACTACTCTTTTAGTTAACAAATAAAAACAAAATACTCTCTACATAAAATAACATAATCAACTCAAATACAGATAAAAACTCTCTCAACTTCTTCACTCTAAAAATCTCAAAAATATCCATAGTTGAAGAAAAAAATTGATTTCTATCAATTACTTCAAATCACTAGTATAAATACGCATGTTTAATTTCATTTTCATTAAATGTGTATACATTTTTACTCGATAAATTATGATTCGACATAGGTTGTTGGCAGATAAATTTTCTTAGCAGATCTAAATTTTTTTTAAGCATGGACGAAAAAAAATTCATTTACATAACTCTCCGATTAGTTTGCCTTCTGCTACGAAAAAAGCAGATGGGATTGGCTGTCAGTTGAGATTTCTTCGACTGTTAACAACCGAGATCTCGGCTGTTAACAACCGAAATTGCTGTTAACAACCGATGTTTCGGCTATTAACAGCCGAGATCTCGTTTGTTAAATCGGCTATTTTGTTTTTAATAAGTTTTTGTTCCCATTGTAAGCTGAAAACGTTTACAAATTCTGTTTTTCTATGCACAGATATGAGGATTATACTCTTGATTTGTTATTTTTGTGATTTTGAATTGGATGAAAATAATCGATGGGTATAGAAATGGATGAATAATATACCCTCTAGTATGACACACATATAATAGAGACTACATCGTATTCGGGACTGTACCATGATATATAGAATAAGTTGAACGTCGATTCATCTCGATACAATATGGTACTAAGATATCAATTAAGGGAGAATTTGCCATATTCAATTCTACCTTTAAATGCTACATATGATATTGAAGTGAATTATCTGTTTGAATTGAACAAAGCACAAGAGACATCGATTTTGTGACTTTAGCGATGAAAGACGACGCGGAAGGTAGAAATGAACATTCAGATCAAATTGATGGTAATGCAAATAATTTTTGGGATACAGTGAAGATTGCTCGCGATGATGATGCTAATATTCTCAAGACAATTGCTCCTCATCGTGACATCACTGCGACGCATATAATTCAATCGGTAGTTCGGAAAAGCAATAATGCAAATGAATTTACAAATGAGGATTTAATTGCTTTATCTCGTCAGAGACATGAGCTGGGTGGGAGCTCAGGGGCCGGAACGAGCGGACCTTCATTTGTTTTATCCCGTCAGAGACATGAACAGGGTGGGAGCTCAAGGGCCGGAACGAGCGGACCTTTATCTGATTTTTCATGTGTGGTTCCCGATGATGAAGATATGCATGTTGAGCAACTATTTGAAACGAAGAAAGATTTGCAGGAAGCTGTGCACGTGCTGGCATTGAAATTCAACTTTGAGTTCAAGGTAAATAAATCAAACAAATCCTTGTGACACTTGTTTGAGTCGACAACAGCTGCCGTTGGCAATTGCTAGTTACTAAGATGGATACGAATGAATCATTTGTAGTTCGCAAGTATACACGGGAACATACTTGCAAATTGGGGATTCGTCAAAACGATCACAGACAAGCTCGATCATGGTTTATTGGTCGACAAATAATGCACAAATATCAGGACCCACAGACGATTTATAAATCTTCAGACATCATTAACGACGACCGGCTAGAGTACGGAGTTTTCATGAGCTAACGAAGGCCAAAAAATGCGCATTGGAGGATTTAATGGGCTCGGCCGAGGAGAGTTGTGCTAAATTGGCCAGATATTGCCATAATTTGGGGACAACTAATCACGATTCCAGTTTTTTCATTGTGAAAGGGGTGGGAGAATTGCTTAAGTATTTATTCATGGCCCTTGGACAATGCATTAGAGGATTTAAAATTGCAAGGCGGCCTATAATTTTAGTCGACGGTACAACTCTAAAATCGAGATATGGGGGCAAACTGATTATTGTTATATGTCAAGATCCCAACATCCAGATTTACCCACTTGCATTCAGCGTAATTGACATTAAGAATGATCTGTCAATGCATTGGTTCTTTACGAAACTTAGGGATGTGATCGGAGAAGTTGAGGATCTTGCCTTCGTAACTGATTGGGGTCAGTCTCTAATAAATGCTATCGCTGAAGTTTTCCCCCATGCACATTATGGGTACTGCATGTACCATATACAAGGTAATCTGA